ACCTATGCTAATTGGGGGGTGACCTGGCATAATGCAGTTCGGGGGTTTGCATGGACCGTTGCTATTTGGGGGGTTATCTGGCATAATTTGTTTCGGGGGTTTGCCTGGACCTATGCTAATTGGGGGGTGACCTGACATAATGTAGTTCGGGGGTTTGCATGGACCGTATGCTATTTGGGGGGTTATCTGGCATAATTTGTTTCGGGGGGTTTCCCTGGACCTATGCTAATTGGGGGGTGACCTGGCATAATGCAGTTCGGGGGTTTGCATGGACCTATGCTATTTGGGGGGTTATCTGGCGCAATGTGGTTCGGGGGTTTGCCTGGACCTATGCTAATTGGGGGTTGACCTGGCGCAATGTGGTTCGGGGGTTTGCATGGACCGTTGCTATTTGGGGGGTTACCTGGCATAATTTGTTTCGGGGGGTTTGCCTGGACCGATGCTAATTGGGGGGTAAACTGCCGGCATAATGCAGTTCGGGGGTTTGCATGGAATTTTATTTTGGCGGTTGCCTGGCGTGAAGCTTTGCGGGGGTCTCCACTTCCGCAGGCTTTCTGTTTGAAAGCTGCACGAGTGCGCGGCCTCAGGTCTAACGAGGCTGCGACGTACATGAGGCGCCTTAGCACAGTATCGTGCACGGTAAGTCTGGGCCGCAAGCTTGGGGGGTAAACTGCCGTTCGCGCTCAAATGCAACCGTAAGTCGTTGGAATTGGCATATTTAACCGTTTCATCTGTTCTATGCAGGGTCTCCACTTCCGCAGGCTTTCTGTTTGAAAGCTGCACGAGTGCGCGGCCTCAGGTCTAACGAGGCTGCGACGTACGTGAGGCGCCTTAGCACAGTATCGTGCACGGTAAGTCTGGGCCGCAAGCTTGGGGGGTAAACTGCCGTTCGCGCTCAAATGCAACCGTAAGTCGTTGGAATTGGCATATTTAACCGTTTCATCTGTTCTTATGCAGGGTCTCCACTTCCGCAGGCTTTCTGTTTGAAAGCTGCACGAGTGCGCGGCCTCAGGTCTAACGAGGCTGCGACGTACGTGAGGCGCCTTAGCACGGTATCGTGCACGGTAAGTCTGGGCCGCAAGCTTGGGGGGTAAACTGCTGTTCGCGCTCAAATGCAACCGTAAGTCGTTGGAATTGGCATATTTAACCGTTTCATCTGTTCTTATGCAGGGTCTCCACTTCCGCAGGCTTTCTGTTTGAAAGCTGCACGAGTGCGCGGCCTCAGGTCTAACGAGGCTGCGACGTACGTGAGGCGCCTTAGCACGGTATCGTGCACGGTAAGTCTGGGCCGCATGCTTGGGGGGTAAACTGCTGTTCGCGCTCAAACGCACCCGTTAGTCGTTGGAATCGGCATATTTAACCGTTTCATCTGTACTTGTGCAGGGTCTCCACTTCCGCATTGTGGAGCCCGCGGCAATAACCAAGCTATGTTGGTCAGCGGCACAAGAGGACGCTTCATTATGGCAGGCTTGCCAACTGTTTGCTTTTGCCATATATCTGAGTTTTGTGTTTCACATGGCTGTTGGCCATTTGAACGATGCCCGCTTATTGGTCGAATAGGTCCATGACCTCAGCAGGAGGCGGGGATTTCCTTGCAGAGCATTTGCACAATGGGTCATATCGCGGGTAGGGAGGATTTTCGTTCGTGTGTGTGTGAGCAGCAAGTGGCGAGTTTGCTCGGCTTATGCAGACTTTGTCATTAGTCGCACCTCATGCATCAGGATGCTGCTGTCTTTGCTGCTCTAATTGCCGAGCCTCGTCAATCTTGTAACACAAAGACGAATTTCTGCACTCATCTCTTTGACTTGCATACTTTGCACTTCCGAAATACCTAGCACACTGTTCGATGTTGTTGCTGCGATAGGGAAGCGTCCCTCCTTCACCTTTCTCCGTTTCTAAGGGTTTGACTATTGAGGTTTCGAGGTAAAGCGTGCCAGTCTGATGCCTCCATTCTCATCGACACTGGGAACATCATGACTTCAGTTCCACACAAGTGCGGGGGTGTCCATAAAAGCTGGGGGGCCCATGGACAGTAAATCGTCTTAGTGTGGTTACATGGTGGATCATCATCGTCCTCCCTCGTCCGAATGAGCATGAAGCGCCATGCGCCAAAGCAACATGCCGGGCCTCCCAGACTTCCGAGCGGAACCTGGCTAGTGATTTCCTAACGCGTTGAATTTCTAAACGCGAATGGGGTACGTCTGTCATAGGTCCATTCCATTATAGATCTATAACAACGTGTCATACCCGCCGCTGCCGCGAATAAATTACGCACGCGTCTGTGTCCCTGCGTGACATCGCTGCGGTTGCAAAAAAACATCGACCGACCTTTCGCCTCATAATCAGGCGCTGAACCTTATTTAAGTTCTCTAGAATTCCTAAAGCTCTCAGTCCCCTATCACAATCTAAATGATAGGTCGTCAACTTGGAAGACAAAAGGCAGTTCTCCAGGCAGGAACCATACCGCAATAAAAATAACATGCTACAGCAAAGTTACCGTATCCAGCCGACCAGTGTGGCGCTGCACATCATGTGTCGAGTCCCCGCGACAGGGCTGCAAAAAATTGTCCTGTCTCAATACGGCACCCAAGGATTGCATCTGCTGACCCAGGCACAAGGATACCCAGACCATATACGCACAGTTACACTCTGAACGACCCGGGTATTAACCACACGTTGGTGAGCCACTCATCCACGCTATGCATCGCCAGAAGGTTCTCCAAACATCCAAGCGATCAAAGCGGAGAGCAAAGCTCAGTGAAACGCAGCGCACTGCAGCAGGACAGACCGACCCAAGGCTGAAGCATTTGATGCCGTATGCCGCACCACATGAATAATAGCCATATTTTTGTCACAGAGCCCTGTCTGCCTGTCTATCCCTGGTCCGCGTACTTAAAACGTCTTCGTCTCTCCACTTAATAGGGATGTGCCGAAAAAGGTCTGGGGACAACAACACCGGTCGACAAACCGCCAGTGCTAGCCAATGCTAATCCGTGCCAACGTCCTATCTGCCATCTCTGCCTCTCTCCACCTGTCAAATCCAAAGCACCGCTCGTTGTCATGAATCCGAATGAAAATGCAGCGATATGCACATATGTCACACGCTCCTTGTACGCGCAAACGTAACCGAGGACGCGCCTACTAGCTTAATGGCCGCTGGACGCATGGTGAAGCTGTCCGGCGGTCTTCATAAGGATTATGGCTGCACGCCCTCGTGCCAAGTTGCAGGTTCGAGACATAGCCATATTTAAGTTATCCCCCACAAAACGCACTACCATGGCCGTTCTCCGGCAATCGCCCTTTGTGCCCTCTCCTCAGTAACCAGTAACCCTTGAATCAGGACTTCCGAACCGCAATTGGAATGGACTGCGCAGCGCGGCCCAATCGTTTACTACGCAAGCCACACCAAACGTCTGTAAAAGCCGGTGACAGCCGGTGCCCAGGCCCTGCACCGTAACCCGCCCGCCTCTTCCGATCCTACCACTCGCGCTTACCCTTCCGATTGCTATCATTGCTTGCATGGCTTCGCTCGACTGTTCCAAGACGACAGCCCATGACATGGAACCGCAGCCCTTAAGCAGTCGACGCGCAAACGGAGGCTAAAACCTTCCGCACCCTTCCCCTGCTCATGCATAAATTGGCTCAGTGTGGACCGAGGAGCGCTCGCTGCCCTTGATGCCACAAACCGGTCACCAGTAGATGAGCCCGCCGATTTGCTTAATTTCGCTCTCCAGTGCCCAGGCAGAACGGTTGAGGTCAAAGCGCGAACAGCCCGTGGCCGCCAGTTGCAGGAATTGTCGCCGGTCCTGCAGGAACGCAACGAATAAAGTAATGTGGATCTCGCTGCTGCATGGGGGAAAGGGAATTCCTGCACATCATGAATGGAAAGCAGTACAGGCAGGCATCGCGACAAGGCGTCCTCCATATTCTCTTTCGCCTTGCAATGACCGCTCATCGCTGGCAGCATGAAGCTTCCCTGAAACATAACGCAAAGGGGAAATGGCGCTCCTTCCCGTGTTGCAGCCCGTGTCTGGTGTGTACCTGCAGCGCCTCAGGCTCCTCTGGATACCAGACCCCCGGCTTGGTCTTGCCCTGCAGCACGCTCTGTGCAAAGGCTGCGGTGCTGTACCCCATCGACTGGCTGAGGTACTTGTGCACGAAGATGCCCGACGAGTTCTTGCCGTTGACCATGTCGACCTCCACACGCATCGCCTGGATACCAGAGGCCAAGCCGAGGGCCAGGGCCGTGCTTGTTAGCGCAATGGAAGCTCATTGCTATCGGTGTGGTGCGGGGACAGGCACTGTGTAGACGGGCTGCGTGTCGCTTTCCATGGGTCAAAAAGCAATTTTGCAAACCCTGTTGAACCCTGTTGATAAACCCTTTGAACAGGAAATCCAATGGATGCTGGCAGTTATCCTCAAGACGCACTTCGTTGTGCCGCATAATCACAACTACACATCATTATCGATCAGATAGAGCCTGACGGGCAAGATTAGCTCCGTCATTAACCGTTACCGGGCTATTTGAGCACGGTCCGTGCATGCATGGACCCCGAAAACTCACCACCGCCTCGCCAATAATCTTATCCACGTTGCGAACAAAGGGATCTGATAACGCTGCAAAGCGCTTCACAAAGCCTCGATCGTTCAGCAGCTTGCGGGGAATCAGGCGCGCCGTCAACCACATAGCCCAGTTCCAAATGAAGGGGTCAGTTCCAAAGCGCGCAGACACGTCAGGCACGCGCATGTACTTGTGACCAGACACCACCTCGGGCAAGTTGTACAGGTACACGCCCTTGCGTCCCACACCTGAGGGTGAACACAGAAAACAATTTACAGACCGCTGCTTGTATGTGGGATGAAGAGCCAGAACGCGAGACGCCGAAAGGGAAGTTGATAACGATGGCGAGACCCCGTAAGGTGTTTGGCAGCAACGCATGCCACGTCACTGCATGATAATCCGTACGCACCGAGCTATCCAGTTTTGCCATGAGGAAGTCTGTCCTGACCAGACAGAAACACACGCCGTGTGCACAGCCAGACCCAATGCGACTGTCCATCCCCACCTGGCCCAAAGTCGACCTCCCGCCGGTTGCTGATAGGTGGTAGAATAACCTCCTTGCCATCCTTGTACACAATCACGTCTTCACCGGCGAGCAGAAAGCTTGTCTCCAAGATGGTGGGCCCTGCACCGCCACTGCCCGCTGTATAATAGCTGTAGCGTAACCACTTGGGCTCCACACCCTCACCTACGGGAGTGGGTGAGCGGATTCGGGCTCAATGCAAGGTTGGATTAGAGAGCCGCTCCGGCTTTGGGACGAGAGGCTCTAATAGCTCAGGCCTCCAAATAAAAGACGGACCCAGATCACTGAGCCTATCTCTCGCAGATATGCGTCGTCAGCCAGCAAGTCAGTGTAAGTCGTGTTCTTCTTCGACTTCACCATAGCAGTTCATTGGTGTCCTGTACGATGTGGTTTAAGGGAAATCACTGAAGCGGTGACAAGTCTGAAATTTGACTGCGGTATATTCCCTCGCAGCTAGATGTGCCCTGACAAATGTGTCGAATTGTCCATTTCCAGGAGGATCGCGTACTACGCATTGGCAATCCTGACCCAAATCGCGCGACCCAGACCAAGATTCTGTTACACCCACAAACCGAAAGGGGGCTCACCCGGCGGTGGTGTACGGTAGTTCCACCCTTCGTCGTACTCCTGGCGCGCAATCGAGATAATATGCGCAGCCATAACATTAGAAGTTCCCGGGTAGATGCCGCCAGAAACAATGGCGGGCACGCCTTCTGCCTTAGCGCGCTCTGCATACTTGGCCTTTGCACTGCGCATGTGAAAAAGGAGGAACGGTAATATGTATCAAACCCAGCCGCGGAGGACTTCATGAACCAAGCATGGCCGCAGCAAACCCCATGCCGTGTACTTGTGTCCGAGATCGCAAAAAAGGCCTATCACACGCTCACGGCTCAGGCAGTTTCGGATAGCACGCAATCCTACGTGTTGAGTTTTAACCCAAATTGAGCAAAATAGAGGATCAGCTGAGTTGCCTGCCCTGTTCGTTCTCTTAGGTGCAGTTGCCGGTCTGCATCTTAGACCGGAACGGACTGCAGCATTTCCCCCCCTACCCGACGCACCCTTCAGAGTACGGAGTGTCGTCACACACATCGATGTAGGGGGTACGTGTGTCGAGCGCTGCCTCAAGTACGGCATAGTTCTTGGAGCGCTGGAAAGGCCCCGCAGTGTGGATGACCAGGTCAGCATCCGTACTGTTCAGCAATCCCTGTGAGAGCAGGCAGCAATGCAGACAATAGTACGACTTCAGGATTGCTTCTTGGGGCAACCAAGCTCTATGAAGATGTGATGAAGATGCGCACACTGCTGTCGTTAACGCGAGTTTTTTCCCCGTGCGTTGTGTGACTGCCTGTGCTGCAGGCAGGGGCATTTCTGCGGGCTGGGTTTCCTCAGGTGGAGTTGGCATGGTTAGTGCACGAAAAGTCAAGGTTTGTCCGCTTGACTGCGTCAAGAGGATCGCTAAAACCGGCAAATAACCAGTGGCCTTAATAAGAGTCCATTGGAAATAGAATGATTAGCGCTTACGTTTGCTGGGTGCGCAAGGCCTTCGACAAGCCCCCGGGGTGGAGCTTCAACCTGCGTCGCGACCGGTGCGTACGGCAGCTGGTTCGTTGGTCTGGCTGCCGCCGCCATTACCGCCGCACCTACCGGCGCCAGGCCCGGCGGCGGCGGCTCCGCGATGCCTGAGGGCCGCTGCGGCACCCGATTGACGCCGCATCCGTCCCGTACATCGCCGCTCGCTGTATGGCAGCTTGGAAGCGACCTCACGGTTTGTGAGAAGGCGGAGAGGGTGGAGACGGCCGCACCCGACCACATGCTGAAGGGAGCTGGAGCTGCGGGGGAGGGAGAGAGGGAGGGGGGAAAGACGAGCAAAGGATTGGAGTTATGGAGGGGCGGCGGCGGGTAAACAGGCATGCAGTTCAGTACGGAAATGTGAACAACGGACGACACACGCGACCCAAATTGGGGAACCGTGACATTGGCGGCGGCTCCGCCGCCGCCGCCGCCGCTGCCGGATCGCGTCTGTTGCGGTGTCGTCTGATGCCGCTGCTGCTGAGACGCCAGCGGCGGCGGCGGTGGTGGCGGCGCGTCGCCTGCCTCCTCTCCCTCTCCCTCTCCGTCTTCCTCCACGACAGGGCATACCAGCCGGCCTCGCATACTGCCAACGCCGGAGCCGTACGTTCCCAACATCGAGTACGGCATAGGGATTTCCGACACTGGCGGCAGCTTGGACATCTCCGCCGAGTCGCCACTGCCGCCAAGGACGATCATGCCGCTGGCG